AAAGGGAGCTGCAAGACGGCCACGTGCTTCTGAGTTCTGACAACAAGTTTTTTTTTTTTGTGTGTGTGTGTGTGTTTTAGATTTTCCCCACAACAGCCCCAAACACAACAGCCCCAAATCCACCCAGGTGAATAGATTCAGAATCAAAGCAGTCTGTCCTATTGCAGACAACGAGAGCATTTGAGATGTCCAACATATTAAAGCAATTTTATAATTAGACAGTTTTTTGGTTGTCCTTGGGGTACCCCTTTCATTCTTCTTGCTGCTCCCCTTTTACTATGCCTCTTGCACACAAGGCTGCCCACGTTGATTCTGGTTGAGCGGCAGCTGCCACATCCCCGTGTTCCTTCACGGCCCACTTGCACGTTATTTCAGGCGGCAGAGTAAAAGGGAAGCTATGCTCCTGTGCATCTCTTCAGAGCTTCATACTCCTGTTCATTTCACTCCAGATCTTCAGCTTATAGTCTTTCTGTCCGTCCTTCATCTTCATACTTCTGTTCATTTCATTTCTGATCTTCATATTGTCTGTTCTCTTAATGATGCTCATTGTGTGTGTGTGTGTGTGTGTGTGTTGGGGGAGGGGGGGGGGAAGGGGGGGGAGGGGAGGAAGTAAACTTGCTCCAATTTATTTGTAGGGAACAACACGGGCCGGGAACCATCCCACATCCCATATGAGAATTTACAGAATACTTTAGACTCTAGAGCATACTGGGCCCATTACCCGGCTTAAACCACTCGTACCTCCGCCAGTGTTGGGAAATTAGGGATAACTGGCAGTTTTCCCCGAAGAGTTCGGAGGTACCAGAGGCTAGGCATCAGTTATATTTCTGAATACCAAAAAAAAAAAAGAAAGGAAGGAAGGATGTCGAGGAAGGCCGTGAAGGAGATGTGCTCACATCAGTACTCACTCAAAGGAACACATCTACCCAGAAACACAGCTAGTTTCGTTTATTGTTATCTCAACTTATCAGTGTTTTTTCTTTTCTTTTTTTGTGATTTGGTTCAAGTGCCCTGCCAACGAGGCAGGGCGCATTCCACGGACCGCTGACACTTAGCAATGCAGGGCCCACTCTCATATGTACTCCAGATTCTGTATCCAGCTGCTTCGATGTCCAAGAGTTGTTGATTTTTTCTTCTTCTTATTATTTTTATTTTCTGCTGCCCTGCTGTCCAAGGAGTTGTTGCTTTTTTTTTTCCCTTCTTATTTTTATTTTCTGATGCCGTGATTACAGCAGGGCTGTAATGCCCGTTCGAAGGGCATACTCTCACATGTACTCCACATTCTTTATCAGGTTTGCATCCCGTCACACTCCATTCGCTCTTTTCCTCCCATTTTTCCTTTGTGATCTGGTCATCACCAGGAGCTGCATGTATAATCCATCCACCAGGGAGGAACCTCTCTCTCTCTCTCTCTCTCTCTCTCTCTCTCTCTCTCTCTCTCTCTCTCTCTCTCTCTCTGTGCATGTATAATCCATCCACCAGGGAGGAACCTCTCTCTCTCTCTCTCTCACACACACACACACACACACACACACACACACACACACACACACACTCTCTCTCCTTTCCCTTTTTTCACTTGCTCTAAGTTGGCGGTCTAACTCGTGTTCCAAACTAAAAGGGTGTTGGTGGGAGAAAGAAAGTGAAACGCAGAACAGCATATCCATCCACGCTACACAAACGAAAATACTGGCTACCATGAACTTTCCCTTCCCGTTTCTTAAAACATTTGAAAACGAGCAATATATATCAGGGGAATTGCTCATGGCTGGGTGACTCATACACACCTGGAACCAATGATCGAGGGCTCGAGAATTCACAAAAAACGCAGAACTTGCAAAATCACAGAGCTCCGGCTTGTCCCTTATCTTGTTGCCTTTCACATTCTCCGACACCACAGCCTGAGCTTATCACCAAGCACGGGCACGAACATCTGCAACGCAAACGTACACACCACATTGTCACACAAACGCACGACAGATACAGACAGGCAGCCATGAGAAGAGACTGTCACCGAACTTTCGACCGCCTCATCCTCCCAATACCACAGCCTACAGTCTTCCCCCTAATACAACGCACGGTCATTATCGCCGAATTTGGTCAATCTTTCAGTCTAAATTCAGCTATAATGACCGTGCGTTGTATTCGGGGGAAGACTCTAGGTAGGCTTACCAACGTTCACCCCCTCATCCTCCAGTACCAGCGCCTGGGCTTATCGGCAAGCGCGGCCATATGCAGCACAAAACACAGCATTCTGACACACAAAGGCACATCACACAGAAAGGCAGGCGAGACTTTTCTTTATATCTTCTCGTATGTTTCCCCTCACAGATCGTCGTATGAGCTTGTATCTAGAAAGGAGTGCACCGAAAGTATGCAAAAGAATGAAAGGAACGAGAAAGGAGCGCACCGAAAGTACGCAAAAACCGACGATTGAGACATGAACCTCGCACTCCGTTTTGCAGATTCGTAGATCGTCGTATGAGCTTGTATCTAGAATGGGAGCAGAAGAATGAAAGGAACGAGAAAGGAGCGCACCGGAAGTACGCAAAAACCGACGCTTGAGACATGAACCTCGCACTCCGTTTTCCAGATTGCAAGGCTTCCCCATACCCCTGGCTTTCGGCGGCAATGGAACGCCCGCGCGGAAGGGGAATCAGGGAATCAGGGAACCACTATAGAAGTCCCAGAAGAAGAGAATCATGGTCCACCGTAACAACAGCAGGAGGAGCAGCAGCAGCAACTATTGCTGAACAAAGCGCACAAACAGAGAAATGAAATCAGCAACCTAATCCCCACCTTGGAAACGCATTGAGATACCATTTTTGTTTTCTTTTTTTCTTTTTTCTGAAAAGGCAAACGACCTTGAGATATCATCGTTGAACTGAGCGCCCCAGGTAATTCAGAAGGGGTTTTATTCCGATCATCGGATTGTGACTGGATTCGAACTTGGGGCCGTATTTCAACTCTTCGTGGGTGTACCATATGAGCTACCGTCTTCACCCGAATAGAACACCCGGTCATTATAGCTGTACTGCATTTGGCACAAAGTTCGGTCCAGATGCAGCAATAATGACAGGGCGTTCGGGTGAAGACGGTAGTCTGAACTGACCGTGCCCAGGAAAATTCAGAGTTGTTTTCAGTGATCTTCATTCCATTGGGATTCAAACTCGGGTCTCTACTTCATCAGTGCACAGGTGCACCAGCTCAGCTAGGCCAGTTGGTTCCTTTATGTTTCCAAAAATAATCATATGAGGATGGCTATTACATGTTTACGACTGGTCAGTGGAAGAAGAAGGAGCCACCGGACTAATGCTCAAACAAAAAACAAAAAAAAGACAAAAAAAAAGAGGCAGGACAAGGGGGGGCCGGAATAGTAGTCGTGACTGTTTTACTCATGCGATCGAGTACTCCTGTGAGGATCTCCCCAGTGAATCTGGCCAGAATCACAGTCAGGCGCATGCCTTATACCGCATGCCTTATACCGAGTAGGTATACACGTTGATTGCTGAATGAATGAAACCCAGTAGATTGTGAGAGAGAAGAGGGCTGTTTTTTTTTCCCCGGTGGGGGGGGGCGGGGGAGAGGCGGGAAGCAAGGAACCCATTAACATGAAAACATGAGGCAGAATTAAAAAAAGAAAAAGAAAAAAAGGAAAATATAGAAAAATAAAATAAAATAAAACATGAGGCCACAAATCCCTCTTCTCCTTTTTTTCGTTTCAAAAAATTCCTCCCATTTGAGGGACAATTTTTTTTGGCCGCGGAAATGTCCCCCACTACTGACAAGGCAGGGCATTGGTCTCAACTTTTGTCCTTTTCTTTCTTTTTCTCTTTTTCTGATTTCTGATGCCATCAACAAAGCGGCAAGGAGGGACAATAATACGCCAAAATGTGAAAAACAAACCCCATGCACGGATCAGATGAGTCGATGCAATGAATGAGGACTGGAAAGCATCTGAGCATAGAGATACGGACAGGAGGGGTGGATAATAATAATAATAATAACAAAATCAGGGTAACCGGCGCTCGGGACGGGCCGAACGCCCGAACCCGAACGCCCGAACGTATGGGACCCCTTGGGGATGCGTTCGGCCGTTCGGGCCGAACAAAAAAGTCATCAAAAAAATCTGAAAAAAAGATATGTTATGGAGAAAAATAAATTAAACAAGATTTGCCTGAGCATTACATCCGAATTCCTTACCAAATTTGAAATAMAAATAAAATACGGAAAACAAATACTAATAATAAAAATAAATAAAATAAAAAGAGAATTAAATTTAGTGAGTGCGCGAGCATGTTTTCGACACCGCCATCTTTGGCGATTTTTCTTTTTTTTTTGGCAWAGSYAATGCCCTGAAAATTTACAGATGTGTACTTCACATAATACAAAACCCGCTAAAAAAGTTCCAAAAAATAATAAAATTGTTTAGACCCCGAACTAAAGTGAAAATAAAAAGTAAAAAGTGAAAAAATACGTGGGCGAGCACGTTTTGACACCGCCATCTTTGGCGATTTTTAATTCTTACTGGGCTTAGCCAAATGACTTGAAAATTTACAGGCATGTACCTCACGTCATAGAGAACTCACAAAAAACAATTCAGAAAAAACTAATTATTTTTAGGCCCCGAAATAATTTTTGGCGGGGGCCGAACGCCGTCGGGTTCGGACCCCGTACGGAACCGAAAGCCCGTACGTACGGAGGTCTGCCCGGGGACCTCCGTACGTACGGGCTGTTGACCCTGAACAAAATAATAATAATAAAAAAATAATAACATATAATAAAATAATAATATATAATTCAGAAGACATGAACCAGTTCCTGCAACGTGGTCAGAAAGCTAGGCTACAGAGTGGCCCGGGTCACTTGCCAGATCGAACCAATTAAAAAAAAAAAAAAAAAAAGAACAATTATTTAACAGAATGCTAGGCTACCAGCCAGGCCGCCCGGGTCCCGGGTGGCAAAAATCCAAAAAAAACGAAAAAAAAAAATGTTATGCAGAAAAATAAACTGAACAACTTTTGCCGCAGGTTCACATCGAAGTTCTTCACCAAATTTAGAATAAAAAATAAAACAAACGTTTTTTTTTTTTTTTTTTGACCCGGCCGGGCAAGTGACCCCGGGCCACTCTGGTAGCCTAGACAGAATGTATTCTTTATTTTATTTTTCATTTGAAATTTGGTAAAGAATTCCGATGTGACCCTGAGGCAAAAGCTGTTCAGTTTATTTCTCTCTCTCTCTCTGTGTGTGTGTGTGTGTGTGTGTGTGTGTGTGCATGGACATGCATGCTCACCCCACCATCGTGGGAGATTCATTCTCTCTCTCTCTCTCTCTCTCTCTCTCTCTCTCTCTCTCTCTCTCTCTCTCTCTCACACACACACACACACACAGGCACCATCGCCTGGTGCCTGAACGTCCGTCAGGCAAGGGAGAAATGGTCACGAGAGAAGAGGTCACGACTCTTTGTTTGCTGTTTATCCAAGAAGGTACACAAAGTGCTAAGGGAATTTCATAGCTGATAGATTGTGCAGCAGCATGTAATCCACCCAGTAGTGAATATTTGTTGTTAGGGCATACTCACACTAGCACATACTTCCGCAAATTTTACGTATGTGAATTTGCGTTTATATGGCACCTGCGGGTCACACTGGTCACCCGTTTGAGGCGACCTCTAAAGGCCTTGAGATGCGAAAATACGTTGTCTGCAGTCAGACAGCACAATGCACTTTCTTTTTTTTTTTTTTTGCTTCCAGAAAGCAGTAGAGGAAAAAGAAATACGATTTTGCGGGGACCTCTGGAGGTCCCCGCAAAATATGTAAGCCCGCGGCTGTCCAGGCCGCTGACATGTAGGTGCCCTTTTGTGTGAAACACACAAAATACGTGCCTCTTGCGACCCGAAAAACTACATAAAATTTGGGATTTTGCGAAAACACGTGGTAGTGTGAGCGTGCCCTTAGACCCATGACCGTTTCACAATTTATGCATGTCATCCTTGTGCAAGGGCCATGCAAATCTTCTCTGTATTTCGTTCCAATTTTAACGGATGTCCCGAAGGACGGGTCATGGCCGTTCCACTTGTCGGTTCACTTTGGTTTAGGGCTATGCATATTGTCACGGAGGTCTATATCGACTGAAAAAAATATGGGCATGACCACGGTCGGGTACATCCAGAAACATCCCAGTGTGTGTCCGCTCCGCCTACAAGTGAGATGCCGCTTGCTGCTTCCACCGCAACCCAAGTGTTGATGGTACCGTGGTCCCCACCTCCACAGACTGTCTCCCAGGACTGTCCTGGTAGGTGGCGGCAGGCGGCGCGCTGTGTGTGAAAAACACATCTGCGACAACCTGGCCTGTAGCTCAGTTGGTACACCACTGACCTATTGAAATACAGACCCGAGTTCGAACTACGCTGGAAGCAGGTGAAGAAGGTGAAGCAGGTGAAGCAGATGAAGCAGATGAGATAAATAAAATAGTGCAATTATTCTGAATTACCTAGCCTAAGGGCCGGGGCAGTTCAAATGATGATGATGATGATATCTCAAGGCCGTACCGTAGCCCTTTTAAAGAAGAGGGGAGAAAAATAAGGGGACAAATTAAAAAAAAAAAAAAAACAAAGACAATAAGAAAAAACATCTTCTGAGATGACATCTGGAATGGATTTGGATTTCGATTCGATAGTATGGGGATCCGGATGGGATTGGATTGAGCCTTGAGGAGATATCTTTCTAGTGGATATCTTTTTTGTCGGGGAGACAGTGTGTATACGACCTGGATTACGTCCCAAAACAGAACCTTCTCGGAAAACTCCAGCTCAACCTCCACCCGCAACTGAGAACACACAGTACACCTCCATCAATTGTGTGCGTCCTCATATTCGCTATACACAAGCCCCCCCCAAAAAAAAGCATGACTGTGCCAGACTGCTTCGTCAGA